CTTCAACCCTGGATTGGTTTGAAGTTTGAGCTGCAGTGAGCTGTGTGATCACGCGGGGGATTGGCGAGGTCTGTAAGCCCCAACGCACTGCTGTTTGCTCCACACCGACTCCAGGCTGCTGCCAGCCAATGTCCACAACTGGGACACTGTTGCTGGGAATGGGCTTTGCCACCCACCCTGTTCTTGTCAGCAGCATAGGTACACTTGAGAGATTATAAATATGATAAACATAAGCCAACACTTTGGCCAACACAGACTCCATCTCTGTATGGATGCCTTGCCATGGTTCCCAGGAATAAACTTGGCAGTGTCAGCTTGGGAGAGCATGGGGTGCAGGTGAACGCAAAGGGCAGGAGGACAAATTTTGTGAGTGGAAAAGCACTGGTGGTTCCAGGAGGAGACCCCTGAGAAGCCCTGCGGCTTCTCCGTTTAAGAGAGCAACTGCTTTAGCCAGTCAAATATCCCTGGGCTTTAAAGCCTAGAGTCCAGATCCTTGAAATCACAGCAGTGTGTGCAGTGGGAGAACCTGCACTTGGGTTTATTCTTGTCTCCTCAAGGAATGTTTGATGTTGTCAGAAATGAAGGCGTCTGTAAGACGCTATTAGACACAGAGAAACACTGGCACTGCACCACGCACCGCTCAGGCTGGCTCCCTAGTTCCCTTTATCCCAGTTTCCAAAGGCGCAGAAATCCAGGGGCAGCTAAAGCCGGACTCTCGGAAGACGAAATTATTTTCTCCGCAGGATGAAGCCCCTGGAATCGGTCTGTGTGGGATTTAAAAACCGTATATGTTTCTGCTTACTGTCTTCCTTACACCTGCCTAAGAACATGTGTGGGGTTTTAAAGTTTTTTCCTTTTTATTTTAGTTACTTGCTGGTTTAATTACATTTACTGCTTGGACTATTGATATCAGTGATGGAATATTTCAATGTGTGTTGTCTCATTTAACTCACAATAATTACATTTACTGCTTGGACTATTGATACCAGTGATGGAATATTTAATGTGTGTTATCTCACTTAACTCGCAGATCTAATTGACATCTATGGGGAAGAGTCAGGCTGGAGAGAAGTGTGGGAATACCCATGCTCATGTTTTAATCCCACGTGGGATGGAGTATTCACATGGCTTTGCAGACAGAGCAAGACCTTTCTGTGCAGGAGGGCTGAGGGGCCCACAGAGATGTTTGCAGCCGGCAACTATTCATTACCCAAAGGAAATGAAAGAAAGGAGAAAAGTATTAACACGCTGAGATGGTAAACAACACAGGTTTCCTAAGAGCATCTGCAGGGTGAGTTGGAGCTGCCTTTGATGCTGCTTGGCCACACAAACCCGGTAAGAGCAGCAGCACAGCTCAGGAAGAAGATGGTGGCAGAGCAGATGTGGAAAGGCAGATGTTCAAATGCTCAGTCTGCTTTAAAGCGGTGCACAACTTGCGTTCCGTGGCGTGAAAGGTTTTGGTTTCTTTCATTTGAAAGTGTGGAAGGGGAAAAAGAAACCCACACCAAAAAAGCCAGTTAGGTAAGATCCATCTGATATCAGCACTGAGCTGCCTGGAGATGTACAATGCTGCATCCACGAAGGCTCTGTGTGTGTGTGTGTGCACTTATTCTTCAGTCTCAGAAACCTTTTAATAGTAATGAATTTATTTTCTATTCTAAATGTATTTATTTTGAATTAGGGGACCTATAAGAAAAATGGGGAAAATATTTCCAGCAGGGCTGGTTGTGATAGGACAAGGAGTAATGGCTTTAAACTAAGGGAGGGTAGGTTTAGACTAGAAATAAGGACAGAATTTATTACCATGAGGGTGGTGAAGCACTGGAACTGGTTGCCCGGAGAGGTGGTTGATGCCCCAGCCCTGGAAACATTCAAGCCCAGGTTGGTTGGGGCTCCGAGCAACCTAATGAAGTTGAAGATGTCCCTGCTCACTGCAGAGGTGGGGTTGGGCTAGATGGCCTCTAAAGCTCCCTTCCAACCCAAACTATTCTATGGTTCTATGATTTTAACAGTAATCAGCTTTTGGCTCAAGACCTAAAACAAGTAAGCAAGTATTGACCAGCAGAGAAGTTGCCCGCGTGACGTTGCCAAGGTTGCTCACCATGCAGAAGAGTTCTCTCTCATGAAGAACTGAATTCTTCCAGGGCCCAGAGTCCAGCTCCCAGGTCAGTCTCACGCCGTCTCCCAGGCATCGGAAAGTCCCTGCCAGCTTTAAGCGCCCATCAGAAGGGTGTCACGGAGGCCTCCAAGGCCATCAAGGTAGGGCAGGAAGCGGGGAGCGGGCTCCTTCACAGCCAGACAGCCCCAGCTCCAGGCTCAGCAAGACCCAGCCAAATCTTGTGATCTAACCAGTAGCCCCAACTGGTTTTGTCCACAGGCCCATCATTTCTCCACTACAAGCTCTGTAAGAACCTGAGAAACCACTGGACTCCGTACTGGGCAGCACGTGTCCCCCACGCAACCCTCACCGGAGCAAAGCCACCAGCCAAAGGGACCTCCTGCAGCCCTGGACCTAGCACCACTCGCCCATCACAGGTCCCTTTCCCTTCCCCACACGGCACGTTGGTCGTCCTCTTCCTCGGTGTGCCTGCGGCGAGGGTGTAGCTCTGGGGTAGAGGATGAAGCTGGCTCCCTCCGCTCCCACCAGCTCTTACACGTGGCCTTTGCACGCTCAGCACCCAGCACCACGCACACTCACCATGATGCTGTCTCAGCCTCCGACACGGGGTCCCTCAGCAGCCAGGCATTTATCACTCAAATACACTTGAAAAATCCGGTTATCGGGGTGGAACGCGGCAGCTGCTCGCCCCGTGGCCAGCATTGACCCCTCGAACCGGTCGCTGTGGGTGAAGAGCTCCCACCCAACCCCAGTTGCGGCTGCCCCCTCTGGCCAGCCAAGGATTCACCCAAAGGATGGAGAAACAGAGCAGGGAGAAAAAAAAAAAGGGGGAGGGGAGAAGCAGACGAGGAGAATGTAGCATCTCAAGAGACCTTCTGAAGTTCTCCATGACTAAATAATCATTAATTTGGTTATGAAGAACTCCCTGACCCTGCGCCCACGGCTGGAAGCTGCTGCGTGGCAGGAACCATTTGCGAAACCGCGCGGCGGAAGGGCAGCGTACCGTAGGTGCTCGCCGCCTGATGTGCATTTGTTTCACCTCTCCCACCGCCCGCCATAAACTGGAAATTAAGCCTTGAGGGTTTTTTTTAAGAATCTTTACTTTTTTTTTTTTTCCAATTTAAATTACACTTCCGAAATACAAGTAAAAATAAAAAAAAAAAGCTCAGAATGAAACATGTTGCTAACTTCTACAAAATATTCTGAATAATAACGCACTTACACCATTTACACATTTTACCTTCGCAATAAAATAGGAGCACTTCGGTCGCTATTTACATATGGACAGAGAGCGCGGCTGCCGCCTGCTCCCGGCGCCTGAGCACGTGAGCACGCATTGAGGAGTTATTTAAGGAATTCCCTGATACAGAACTTTGCTTTGCTATATTAGGCACTTCGTTACAACAGTTATTTATTATGGCTTACGCAGAACCGTTCCCGTTCCTCGGGCTATGCGCTTGGCAGAGTCAGCGGGAGAGAGACATGGCCCAGGGCACGCTTCGAGCCAACGTTTTGGGTTAGCCCAGTGTTGTCTAACCCAAAATTCCTGAAACCTGGATCCCATCGCTTAGTATCACGATTTTATCAAGACCTGATCTTTGCAGCAAGTCAAGCAGCCAGTGTATTTTAAAGCTTACTATATCTGTGCTTTTCCCCCAAATTATTGGTAACTAGAGCTTTCCTGCTTACAATAAGCTTACTACTTCAACCCACGCTGCTCAGCGTGCCGTTGGGTGACATCTCCCACGTATGATTGTCTGAAGAGCACACTGTAGGCTGAGGGATTATTTACATATCTTAACATGTAGAAAACACACTTGTAACTTACCAAATAATAAATATAGACCGACAGAGTACAATATTGATATAAAATAAATTAGCATGAATCTCCAGGTGTTGAATTCCCTCCCTTAAGGCCTGAGCCAGAGACCATAAAAAAAAAAAACACCCAGCCAAAACCACAGTGATGTTTTTTTAATGGCTCAAACAGGTTTTGGATAGGGCTCCTTCCTCGGCACCGGCTGTTTGAAACGAGATGTTTAGCTAAGCTGGCGGGTATTTGAAATCTATATGATCTATACGATCAAACAGCAAAACTTACCTCTAACAGGTTGGGTAAACAGACTAGACCAAACATTAATACTGCGTTTATTAGGAAGAAGATCGTTCTGGCAGATTGTCTCGACGTGAATTCAGCAGCAAGGCAACCAGCATACAGCTAAGAACACAACGCATTTGTGATGCAAACACGTGTTAGTGCACATGGTTTTCCAGAAGCTTCACTCCTCAGCTACATTTGTGCATATTTCAGAATGCTTCTAACTAGATGGTTAATAAAAGTCTCCGCGTGACTATAGCTAAAAAAAAAAAATTAACTGGAAAATAAGAAGGAGTAACTTACTCAAGAAAGCTGTCCAGGTAAGAACGACGCCAAACTTCAGGTCTGACTATATCAGAGCACCGAGAAATTTGGAATCCAAGTAAAAATCTTAAAACTTAGGTCTATCAAAATTAAAATAATAAGAAAGTAAAAAAAAAAAAGGACTAAAAGCAGTGAATCTGCTCTCAGAATTGCACGCTCACCAGGTCTGTAAACGCTACGTGAAGGCAGCGACGCGCTGCTCGCTGCGAGAGGCATCGGGCGGACGCTGGGCTTTGCCTGCCATTTACTCCACG